TATATTAAACAAGAGACTACGTGCAAAGGGCCTAGCCCAGAGGCATTCAATACTTGCTAGTTCTCCTCCCCAACAGCAGAGCTGTGAAAGCATCTCTGAAGATTAATGATAGATGAATCTCAGGTAGATTAATAGTGGTGGCACATTACAGTAAGAGAGGCTGGAACTTACTGAGTTATTCAGTGCAGCAAAAATGATTATCACAAACTATCTTGGATTAAGATAAATCAATTTAATACATACTAATATGTCTATCAGGTACATTAAACCAAATACGATTATTTCATTGATATCATCGCAGTAAGACACTTCCCCCAGGCACTATGATTTTTCGTTCTCGCTGGATGACATTATCTCAAACAACAGCTGCTCACATTGACTTAAAGACATATTTTAGAGCCCCAAATTTTCATCTAGTTTCTCCTATCACGATTACCATTTATGATAATTTTATGAAACATCCACTAAGTAATATGTTCGTTTGATTCTTCCTGTAGGAAATGGCAGTTTTGCATTCTGTAAATCTTATTTATCACATGGTTGTATGTTAAAAACCCTTAATTGTTACCCTTGGGGAGGGTAACGATTGGAAGGGGATGCAGGGGAATTCAGGGTGCTGGTAATAGCCTTGCTGGATACACAGGTAAGCTCACTTTGTGACAATTCGTTGCATTGTACACTTAGGATTTGTATAATTTCTGTAAGGGTGTTATATTTTACTAACAGAATTTTACCAAAAAATCACCATCCTTGTCATCAGTAGATTTAATTTTAATGGGGTTTCCCACTTTCAATAACAGAATGTAGGGCCTAGTAAGGTTTATTGCACTCGCCCGTTGCTGTGGCTGTCTTTGCATGTACAACATGATGTTTTAAATACTTACACTGAATCCTTTCAGTCCTTTGTCTGTTGGCAACAGCACAGTGAATGGTCCCAGGTTACTCAGTGGCCAGGCATAAGTTTTGTCTTAGGTATTGAAATACACAAAGAAAGAAAACACCAAATGGGTCAGTGGTACATACGGAGTAAAATTAGGCCCTTGCCTCATGACTGGTTCATTAATGCCCTTTGAATCAAGAACTTCTCTGTTTTAATAGGCATGTGAAGGCACTCTGTAGGCTGGGACACTCTCTAAGAATGTAAGGCGCCATGTTGCCATGACCCGAATGGGTTCCAGGCAACCCCGTGGGATTTTCTGTGCAGTCACGGCCTTAGCTCCAAGGAAATCTTGGGATTTGAGGTTCTGTGAGGCACCCATGACAAAAACTTCTGACAACCCCAGGAGGCCTCTGACCCTGTGTCCAGTTCTGAGCTATTACCATCTCTGTAAACAAAGCTGCAGCCCATGTTTCCATCCAAGGCTGGCTTAGAAGGGCGCCACGCTTAGTTTAATGCTCTGCTGTTGCCATATTGAAATGCTTACTAACTTTTGAACAAGCCCTGCACTTTCATTTTGCACTGGGCACGGCAAATTATATAGCTGGGCCTGCTGCCATCACCCTTAGTGGCGGGGTGGTAAAGCAGGACGGTGCTCTTTGCTCTTGCCTAAGAGGCAGAGTGTGCCAGCACCTTGTCAGCAGAAAAGGTGAAAGGTTTGTTCAGGGAAATGTTTGAGAGCCCAGTCTGCAAAGGACACTCGGCACTCCTGTTTGCTCCTACTTGATATTCTAACAGGTCTTAGAGGAAGGCTCTGGGGAGCTTGGCAGATGGCCAGTAATGCCTGACTCCCTGTAGGATGCCTGGAAAGAGCAGGGTATGTATGCAGGATGTATGTTAAGACTTATGCAGAGAACACAGCACTGAACCATGGATGACATTTACTTCTCTAGCTGTGATCTTTTTTGAGAAATCATTTTTGATGACTGGTAAATTCTTTATGCTGATATGTTAAGCCTTCTGTTGATTGGACAAGTCTGTATTTTCTGTTGATTGGCCCAATCTGTGTTTTATTGAACATCTTGCCCAATGCTGTGATCAGCTCTAATAGTTTCTTCTCAAGGAGGTGTGGGGTAATGAGCCCTAGAAGGCATTTGGAAATGCGTGAGGGTGGGAGGTGGGGAGGATGTGTCACTAGAGGCATTTAGTGGCCAGGGAGCCAAGGATGCTAAATATTCAGGATTGTGTGGGATGGTTGCACACAACTGAGACTATTCCCCAAATTCAAACAGCACCACCACTGAGGAGCATGGGGACTGTCTCAGGGTCTTAGTCACTCCCTACTCCAGTAGTGCCTGCTAACCTTTGTCCACACCTGGAGGACCCATGAGGCCAAAGGAAAGGGGGACACCCTCGATCCTCACATCAGCAGCTTCCCCTGTGTCACTGTTGGTGTGACAGACCTATTCCTCTATGGTGACCTCAAGACGTTGTCCTTAGCTCTCTGCCTGCCAATTCCTCTTTTGCTGGCTCTCCTGGTGCTAACTGCTTCTTGTCTCCTTGGAAACACCTGCCCTTCCTTTCCCTCCCAGTTCCACGGCCCCTCCCTAAAAGGGCTAATCCCCAGAGACTAGTCTTGCCTATCCTGCCACCCCTTTCTGGATGATTGTGTCTTGCAGATAGAGGTCTAACTAGGGGGGTAAGTAGGGTGCTGTGCCCTGAGCGCTGCTTGAGGTGAGGCATGAATTAGCAGTTTCTATTGGTCATCATGGAGCCCTGGTGGCAAAGTGGTTAAAAGCTTGGCTGCTAACCAAAAGGTCGGCAGTTTGAATCTACCAGCCACTCCTTGGAAACCCTATAGGGCAGTTCTACTCTGGCCTATAGGGTTTTTATGAGTCGGAATCGACTCCATGGCAGTGGGTTTGGTTTGGGTTTTATCGGCCATCACAGTTTCCATTGCCAGCTGTGAGAGATCATTCAGCAATTTAACACTAGTTGCCTTAGGTATTATTTTCTGTAGTTAGGCTCCTGTATGCAGATGCCCTTGCCCGAATGAGAGCTGCCACCTATGTAGAAATCTGCACCCCTGGCTACATACCCAGAAATGAGATGAAAGAGGTCAGCCTTCCTTGCCATTTTCCTCTGGGTTCAGTGTTTAAGTCTCTGAGCCGCTCCATGATGTTTCCGTAACACGTCAAGCCATCGCCCACGTAGCCTTTCTGGCAAGTGCATCTAAAGAGAGGGTGAAAACACATTCTCAGGGTCTTCCAGCCACTGGATGTTAAGCCTGGGAGGTGTCTGAGATCATCTAGTCCAATGCCCCCATTTTACAGATGGAGAAAACAAGGCCCAGAGTAGGATGGAGACTAGGCCAGGAGAGGAGAGACATCTACACAAGTGAGCATTCCTAGTACAGTGCCTGACATGTAGGAGGCCCTCAAGAAATGTATATTTACTAAATGCTGTGTCTACAGATGCTAGATATTTTTTCTGCTCTTTTTTGTCTTGGTATTCTTCAGTGTGATCAAGGGACTATGCACATCAGAATCACTTGGGGATTACTACAGTGACACCTGCGAAAGCTGGAAACTGCATAAGGTAGAAACCTGTCAGAGAAGGAAAACTCAAAACTAAAATGAGATAGGATTCTTAATAGAGAGTGATAGCAAGCACCGTCAAAGGTGGAAAACTTGTGAGACTTGGAAAAACAAGACAGTCCTGTTGAGTTCCAGCTCTCATAGGTTTCATTGTATACATGTAGATTCTAGGGCCCTGCTGCAGAACCACTCAACAGAATAAGCTGTTGTGGTCACCCTTAAACAGTAAAGATTTAGAATTATCAATCTGTTTAAGATACTCTTCCTCCTCCCCTTCCTAGTTAAGGACCACTTACCATTCAGATCTCTGCTCATCTGTTGCCTCCTTAGGGAAACCTTCCTGGATTGCACACTCCCCAGCCCACACTGTAGATGAGGCCCTCTTATTGTGTGCTCCCGTGGCACTGTGTGCTCTTTATAGTGCCCATCACAGCTGTGATCTTGCCTAGTCTGTGCGGTTATTTGATTAACGTTTGCTTCCCCATCTAATTTGAGTGAGGGCAGGGGCTGTAGGTGTATCTGTTCTCTGTTGTAAACCCAGGATCTAGCACAGGGCTTGGTCCATGGAAGGTACTTAATTAATAGCTGTAAAATAAGTGGTAATTGATAAACAATGAAAGTCACAGGCATCTTTATAATAGTTTAGTTTCATAAAAGAGAAATACATCGAATTTAAGATGAAATGAAAAGGTACATTTTACTCCGAACAGGAAAAAAAAGTCCACGAAACAAACACACAAACAAAAAACAACAATCACCCCTAAATTCTTATAAACAAAATGGAGAAAGTCCTAATACGGGAGGTACTCTTAGGATATTGGAAGCTCCCAGGTGGTGCAAACAGTTAACGCACTCGTCTGCTAAGCAAAAATTCAGAAGTTTGAGTTCACCCAGAGGCACCTTGGAAGAAAGTCCTGGTGATTTACTTCCCAAAAGTCAGTCATTGAAGACCATATGGAGCACAGTTCTACTACGGCACACATGCAATTGCCATGAGTCGGAGCTGAGTTGATGGCAACATTTTTTTTTTTTAGGATATTGATGAGATTCTCTGCATTGGTCACTATATTTACAGAATGAGGCCCCCCGTCACTCCCCGAATACCTCTTTTTTTTTTTTTTCCCAGTTCCAGTTCTAACCGTTTGGGGAGTATCTTCCACTCCCAATCTTCTTCCCAACACTGCTTCTCAGAAGCCCTTAGCAGTTATTTTGCATGTCACATATTTTGGTACCTGCTCATCTACTATCTTGGTATTGCTTGAGGGAAAACACCATGCCAGGTGCTCAAAGGTCTGGCACCATTGCTTGATTCATGTGTGCTTTATGTTAAATACTAGGTTTTAGGGGAAAAAATAGTTTGTGCTCTAACAAAGTGGGATATCAATTGTCTGGAAGGTGTTCTCTGTCCGTGACTGTGTCCTCAAACTCTACCTCACCTCCCTCAACCTTGGACAGTCATCCTGTTGGGTTTTTGAGGCACAATAAATACTCTTTCAACAACAAAAACACGTGCTTGTAAGCTCCTCCTCTGTGCCAGTCAGTGTTCTAGACATGGGATATAGCAGTGAAACAAGCTCCTACCTCTTGGAGCTTGGATTCAATGATACAGACTAAATGCTCTCTGGTCTTGAAAAGACTCCTGTTCAATACAAATACCTTCTGGGCTGGATAATGTCTTTTATGAATTCAGCTACTACTCTACCTAGCACTGGTGTGCTAGCAAATGTTTAACAACCAGGCCATAGGGAGGGGTGGAGGAGAAGCCCTGATTTGTAATGTTTGCCAATTTTCATGGTGTAAATACTATCATGGCCAATTTCAAACTACCAACTTGATGCCAACCAGCTTGCAAAATTCTTGAAAATTGTAATTCTCATCCCACACCTCTTGTGAGTCAGTAAATTCTGGCTGTAGCACATTACTGGTATCTACCAAAGATTAGTTGACAGCTGGCTGAAATGGACAAGGTGCTTAGGAGAGCGACATTCCCCAGGATCCTGGAGACAGGTGAGACACCAAACACAACATAGAGAAAGAACACTTCAGAGAGGAGAGATGCAGGGAGTTGACAGTGTGCTGTGACTACTTCCCAGTGTTGCTGGGGTTGTACCATACCACAGATATGACTCATGCTTAGGAGAGTTTTCCAAAGAATAACTATATACTCGTTAATCTAGTTGTGTCTCTAAATATGGTCCCATGGCAAAGAGATATATTTTTAACAAGTTTGTTCAACACATATTTCAGTGTCTCACCACCCTTTGCCTGACTGGATTGCTGCCATGACCTCTTAACTGATTTGAAAACAAATAGTTACAGCAATGTGATAAGGTCACTGAGGAGCCCTGGTGGTGCAATGGTTAAAGCGCTTGGCTGCTAACTGAAAAGTTGGTGATTTGAACCCACCAGCCACTCCGCAGGAGAAAGATGTGGTAGTCTGTTTCTGTAAAGATTAAAACCTTGGAAACCCTATGGGGCAGTTCTACTCTGTCTTATAGTGTCACTATGCGTCAGAATGGACTTGACAGCAATGGGTTTGATAAACTTGCTTAACCTCCTTTAGTTCCAGTTTCCTCATCTGTAAAATGGGTTTATTAATAACTTTAGGGTTGTGGGAGCCCTAGTGGAGCAATGGTTAAGAGCTTGGCTGCTAATCAAAAGGTTGGCAGTTTGAATCCACCAGCCACTCCTTGGACACTGTCCTGTACGGACACTATGAGCTGGAATTGACTTGACGGCCACGGGTTTTGGTTTAGAGTTGTTTATAGAAGAATGCAATGCATGAAAACCAGCTAATCCAGTGTCAGACACATAGGAAAAATTCAATACTTGGTAGATGTTGATGATAATGATGACAAAGATGGTGACCATATCAGCAACAGTAATGTGAGATGTGCTGGTAGTGTAGTGGGACAAGTCCACAAACAGATAATTAGGTCCCATTGTAAGTGCCATGA